TTAATAAAAAGTTGAGGAACGATAAATTAGGCCGACGACGGGACGACGCGAGAAGACGTCGCAGAAACTCGAGGGGAAGAGGGATAAGGATGAAGGGCCCCGTCGCTGTCACCAAGCCCCTTGGATCCCGGTCTGGCGATATAATAAATTTCAAATATAAATAATAAAATTTCGTATCTCCTCCGTCTTTAAGGCGCTGCGGGTTTTTACGAGGCAGGGGATGACGACGGGGAGGAGACGATGATGACGGGCCGTTTCGCGAGAATGTCTGGGAACACGGAGTGGACCACGAATTACGACGCGAGCATTGTTCGCGTCCGTGCCAATAAAATTAGCCATTGTCTGCGCGAGGTTTAGGTAAACCACGAGTAGCCACGTATTTTTATCGCCGTCGAGAAAATTGCAAACAATGAACTTGTCTTTATAGAAATTACGCGCATTACGTTTTTCAATAATCGGGCAAAGCGAAGTGTTAAAAGAGAATAACGGAACGGACGCGGGCTATAATTTACCTGTCAAATATTTATTTAGCGGTTAATTCGGTAAAGTTTCAACCCCTTTGGAGCGTGGCGGACGGCGCGTGTAAATCCGTTTAAAAAGTTTCGAATGAACCGTGAAATTCGTTTTCTTCTCCATCTCCTTCGCTCTCTTTCACTGCGCATATCGCTTTTTAATGGTATTTCTTCAAGGCTAACAGTTGCTCGCCCGAGAAACGGACGTAGCAACAAAACAGCGATCGTCCGTCATCACAATCGCGTCGTTCAATTTCGGATAATGAAATCCGTTTCGCGAGTTTAAACACAAACGGGAATTAGCATGAAAATTGGTAGAATTGTACACAGATGAATAATCATTGTTCGAGCGCGAAACGACAAATCATACCCTATTCGAATTTTCCTGAATAATAAATGGATTTAATTACTCTTAAATATATAGATATATATAGATGTAAAATAATATCATAAATAAAATTTCATTTTATCCCATTTCTATAAAAAAAAAAAAACCATACATTATTTTTAAAAAATTATTTCTGCGAAAAATAATTTTGCGAGATATTCTACGTCGAGCCTTAATAATTTCTAAATAGCCATAACTGCATATGGCAATATCGGGAATGATGCGACAATCTTACGAACGCTGTATACGCTCCCGACGATAATAATAATCCAATGTGCCTCTCGTAATTATCCAAATTGCTTTCCAAAAAGTATGTACGTGCGAAGGCAGTTAAAGGATTCTTTAATTTCCCACACACGTTGGAAACCAAAGTTCGCCGAGACTCGAACTCTTTGGTGCCTGAATTGTTGCACGTACGTGCAACTTGCGCGCAGGTAATCTAGTGGGGGCGGCAGATCGTTCTCTCGGGAAGAGAGACGAGAAGGGGGGGGGGGAGGGAGGAGGCGAGGAGATCGAGGGAGAGGGTAGAGGGTGGGAAAGGGAGAGAGGGGGAGAAAAAGCGAGGCCCTTGAGGGCCTCATAGCCGGCTCTATATGCAGAGAGCGGTGCACCAGTTATTTATCGTAGCTCCCGTTTATGCTTTATTTGTTATTTGCTCTCCCGACCGCCTGCCCGGACTGGCAACCCATGCGAACGGGCGTATATATCCACATAGAAACACCTACTCTATTCGTCTTTCGAACTCGCGACTCCAGCGAGCCCGTTAATGAGCCCGTTTCGTACAATTAGACGTGTTAAGTCGTTCAAATAATAACATTTTTCCTCGCTCGATCCTGTCCGAGGAAAAATGCTAATTCCAACAATTCATCCCGTCCCGCAGGACGAAAACTTCGTTTCGTTATGACTTAATTACCCGATGCGACATATACGCACGTTGTTGTGTACTATGTGTACGCAAGAAGCCGATAATTACAATCGGCGAAAATTATTAAGATATATTTACGGTTTTTCCTTTTCTAAGTTATTAACGCTGGCGTTTTTCGAAGATCGCAACGATCAATTAATTAGCGGTTTCTCTTTGCGAATTGACAGATGCGATCGTTACGAATCGACGATGTCGATATTACTCACGGTCGCTAGCGCGATAGCGAGGCTTAATTAAATTGTATTTGCACGAAATTGATGGTTACAGATATCAACGGGGGCCATTAAGCTCCTCCGCAAACGTATGTCGAACAGGTGCGGGTACGGTGGCGTACGTATACTACGGCGATAATTGTTAAATTAAGTCGTAAATTGTTATAATTAGTAAAGGTTCACCGGTAGAATTCGGTGACCGAGAAACGGCGCATTTCATCTAGATAGACCGGGATGGTGGTGCGTGGTGAATCGCCTCCCTCTCTCTCTCTCTCTCTTCTTCTCCGAGGAGACGTATCTCGTCTTATCGTAATTTATCGTCCAACGAATAAACGATAGACAAGTCTAGGTAAGGGTTATTTACTTTTACCTAATTTAAGTTGGGTTTGTACGTAAATAGTAATAGTCGTGTACTTACGTTAGTAAATTATTCTATATACTAAATTACTACGGTGTGTGTGTGTGTGTGTGTGTGTGTCGCGCGCGCGCGCACGAGAGAGAGAGAGAGAGAGAGAGAGAGAGAGAAAGAGAGAGACGGTCGTGGCGGGCCGCTGGTTTAAAGTGCCGATCTCGAAAACGACGAGAATGGTAGTGATTCCGGAAGACTTCGCTGCCTCTATCGGAGCTTAATGGTCTAATGTTCGAATTACCAATCTCGCACGAGCATGTTATACGTTGCGCGTCGTTGATGGTCATCTTCTCCATGACGTAATGAAGGTACCGACGAAGACAAGGTGGTAGCGGCGCGTCGATGTCAAACGCGGAGAATTAAAAGGACGACGACGGCAAGTATTGGGAGGGCATGAGGGGACGGGAAGGGGGAGGGAGAAATAGGAGGATAGCATCTTCAGTGAGGAGAAGGAGAAAGAGGAATGGGTGTGAGCGGGGGAGGGGGAGGGGGAAAGGAGGGGAAGGGAGAGACGAGAGAGGAGAGTCGAAGACACTGCGAGAAAGAGAGAATAATGCGTTAAAGCAGCAACCAGCAACTACTCTAATTGGCCACTTTGTCCATTTATTCGATTTATTTAAATTATGGGACAATTGACAGTAGGCATTCTATTTTTTAAATCTCCCCGGCCAACCGGCTGATTGGGCGAGATTGGCGTGAGACACTGGCCCCACAGATTCCCCAGTTGTGGGCTTAATCAGCTTTGATTGCTAGCGTCTCTCTTTCTCTCTCTCTCTCTCTCTCCTCTCTCATCCGCGTCTCTTTCTCTCAGCATTTTCTTTCTCTTTCCCTTTCCATGTACGCATACATTCACGTCTCTATCTTTCTCTCGCGCGCTCGCCCTCTCTTTCTCTCGCCGGCACCCCTTGCCCCCGCGGCTGCCTCCTTTTCTGTCTTTCCTTCGTTGCCCCGCTTAGTCGCGCGCGAACAACGTACACATTTTATTTTATTCCATTTCGCAGATCCCACCATGCGTTTAATATCGTCCGGCCGACGTTGATTGGCCGATCCGAAATTGTGGGAATATGTCACTGGACGAGAAAATCCTACGGAGGCCGCCCACTCTCTCTTTCTCTACTTGAGATATTCCCTTCGCGCGTATTCCCCTCTTCGTTGCAAACGCCGTGATTTCTGTCGCAGAATCTTTTCAACGGACGGGGATTGTATGCGACGAATACCGCCGACTGCGAATCATCCGCGGACGAGGAAAATGATGGTTCTCGTGTCGATAGCGAAATGACGGCGGAGAGCAACGATTGATCTTAATGGTACTTAGGAGAAACATTGGCATATTTATGTAATACAAAGATCTCAATCTATTATCACATGCAGCGAACGATATTTCTACGCAGTCGTCGGATTTTCAATTTCGCCATAGTGATCAATTTGGGAGGTATATAAGGGGGACGTCCCTAGAATAATTAACAAAATCAAAACCTGCTACGAAGCTTCGACTTTTTCTTCTTTTTAATTAGATAAACATTCGTATTGCTCGCGTATATATTCCGAAGGATTTAAAGTACACGCGTCGTCTTCAGAGATACAAGGAGGAATGGACGGAGATTGATAAATTTTGGATTTCTTTTATTACTGGTAGCCGAAGCAACCCCCCCCCTTGGGCCCCTCGTGGGAGCCGCGTTGGCACTCATCCCATTTCCTTCATAATTCCCATAATGCTGTGGGCGGATATTCCAATAAAGGGGGAACAGCCCCTGGGTACAAAACACTGAAAGCGGCGGACGGCCGCGATCCGTCAGGTTGCGCCACGATTCACGGGATTCGCGAGGATCGAGAGACAAATAAAAGCTGCGGGGAGAGCCGACGGTCGTGCAGACTCCAGAGCCCGGCTTACGTATGGCCTTAGATTTGTCACGTGGCATGCAGGAATGCGCGATAATTACTCAAAAGATGCGGGCCCGTGTGCGCTGGACGCGCGATTTCTCCAGGCTTGTTTCTCCGCCGCGCGGCGGCCGGGAATTATTAATTCCCCCGTTGAGGAATCCGCTGCTTTGAACGAGAAACGGAAATGGAAATTCTCTTAGGGGAGGGAAAGGATACCCGCTCGCAAAGACAATTTCTTCTGCGTCGAGATCTCACACGAGAAGAGGTCGAAATTGCTCGCTCATTCAGACCGCTCTCGGATTCGGACTGGAAAGACTCGAACTTTTGCCGACGAACGTGTTAAATTCAATTCGTGCAACGTTCGATCGCTTCCGCGATCGGAATAACGCGCGACCAGCCCCTCCTGGCGAGTGCGAATGCATACCGATTATTTCTATCCCGACGCCGTTAAAGGTCAGGGCGTCGACGCGCCTTTGATCGGCAACATTGTCTCCGTTCTAATCATAGATTCGTTCGACGATTAAAAGCTTGTCGATTACAAATCACCACGGATCCAACCACAGATCGCGACGACAAACGTCGCGACCACGACGGACTCCGCGTCCGCCACCGTCACCGAGTCTTTTTCCGCTTCGTCTCTTCCTTTTTTTTTTTTTTCTTCTACCTTCCTTTTGTTCGCGCGAGCAGGGTCATCGAACGCGGCGCGGTCTCGATTCGATCTAATTACGATCCGATAACTTCCGCAGCAGGAGGAAATAGTAACTCACCGGAACCTTCGGGTCAGCTGCCTCACCTTCATCGCGCCAGGCTCGCTATTGTCGGCGGTACCTAAAAGAATACATTACGATGTACAATACACCGGCGTGCCCAGGGCCGTACGCGAATGAGGGGGACGAAGCGAAAAGGCGGGGGGGGGGAGGCGGAGGGGAGGCTCCGCCGCCCACGCGGCAGACGCGAGATGTTTCCGTAAAATCTATCGCGCAAAAGACCGGCTATTCCGCGAACTAATCGCGTTATGGCCTTAGGCTCGCTCGTAATGGTCGCTTAATATTCTCTTCGTTAACCCTACTGCTACCAAGTGAAATGAAATTACCCCGGGGCATGTCTGCCACGGCATTTCAATTTTGAGTAATTTTTCGATATCGACAACACGTCGCCAAGCGTTCGACGACGCTTTTGTACTTGCGAGACGTATCCTTTTACCGAACGTTCAGACGGGCGTCAAAATTAAAATCGAGAGACCTAAAAAAAGACAGAATTACTCGGGAAAGAGGTACGGGAGGGACGAAGAAACGTCACTTGCCGGAAGCCCCATCGCGGGCACAAATTATTCGAATGCTGTACGATTTCCGAAGCCCTAGCCGAGTCCTCGAGTCAACGATGTCGCTGAATTTATGAAACTATTACTACACCGCTCTTCGCCCTCTCCTCTCCCTCTCGCCGTTGAATTTTCCATTTTTCTCTTCGAAAAAATTATTCACGATCTGACTCATCTCCACGCGAGTTAAGTAGAGCGAGCGAGGCGACGTGTTTATTGAAACTCGAAGGAACTCGATCTCGGCGCGCGTAAATTTATCAAAAGTTTCGAATTACTTTATATATATATATATAAATATCGTATAAACGTATTCTATTACGGCATGACGCATCGTTGCATTATCGATACGACGATGGTTCTTCGTAACGATCTCTGAACTTCACTCCCAAACGAGAAGCAAGTTGGTGGGTGCGCGCGCCGGAACAATCGATTAATTCCGTCGAATCTAATAGAACTCGCCTCACGTACGTGACCATCGCGTTCCTTCAATTCTGCTTCAATCTCTAATCGAAACATTTATATTCCCCGTTCATAATTATCGGTGTTCCTTCCCCCGTGCGTAATATTTACGAATCGCGGCGTATCCTCGCGCATAATAACGTGACGATAAAGAGAAGATGAGTTGAGACAATCCTCTCGCGACGAAATGACGGAACCGGAATGAGGAATATTTACGATTCGGTGATACACATTCTAAAGATTAACGCGTTAAAAGAGAAAAAAAAAAAAATTTAGCGCGGAGAAAACGCGGACGCGAGGAAACAAATGGAAAATAATGTGCATCACGATGTATATAATGCGAACGTATGCACCGGGGCACGGAGGGAGAAACGCAGGGGGGGGGCGAGGGGAGCGAAGAAAGAGAAAAAGATCGGAATGGGACAGAGGTGGGGGGGCGAGAAGAGCGGCGACGAGAAGGAAGAAGAG